ACTGGGTGCCAATTCTGTCCTTCTGCATTTGGTGGTACCTTCTGAATGTCCCTTTCCCCATATCCTTCCCTCCCCTTCTCCCAGCATATGTGTGGGTATCTGTCAACTCGGGTATAGTCTATATCCCAGCATATGTGTGGGTATCTGTCAACTGCGGGTATAGTCTATGTATCTGAGGCCAAATTAAACTCATTGGGCACAAACCATCGGTTCAGTGTTTTGTTCCAGTTTGTTCTTGGGACGAACAGGTGTTTTGCAGTTCCCTGCCCTGCCTATTCTGACGAGCATTCACTCAGAGGCAGCACATCCCTGCCCGGCCTCTTCCAGGTGCTGCCTCTGACTGGCGCCTGCTGGAGGAGGTGGGGCTGGGAACCGTTGAACACCTGTTCTTCTGAAGGATGTTCTGGCATGAACCGTTGAACTGCCAGTTCACGCCCATCACCACGTAGGCTTTAATTGCAGGTACAGTCTATGTATCTGAGGCCAAATTAAACTCACTGGGCACCAAACTCTTTGCTGTTTCTACTGTAACACGTTAACATGACTATCCTGTCCTTGGAAAAGGGTTATTTAAATTTGGGCTGGCCAAAATGCAGCCCATGGGCCACATGCCGCTCCCCCAGGCCCAAATGCATACTCCAGAAATACTGCCCCACAAAGACACCTATAACAAAAACAAAAGATTGATTTTTTTTCATAAAAACTTTTGTACTCTTGTGTCTTCTACAGACCAGTAGGAGGCAATTCTGCCATGTTTTTAGGAGGCCCCAACAGACCTGAAAACCCCAAACCTAGAAAAAATATTTTAAAGACAGTTTTATCACTGCCTAGTGATAAGTGTACGTGGATCCTTGAACTGTGGAGATTGCCCATCTCTGTTCTAGATCATCATGATAAACATCTGCAATCCAATTCCTTAAAAAAAGTTTGGAGAGATTCATTAAGGAAAACACATCTGCATTTATATCTGTCTGTAGGATGCTCTGTTACTGCCTCTTATGGACAATGAAATAACATTTTTTAGCAAAGACATCCTAATGCTTTGACATAATCTCCCTGCCTCTGCTCTAAAACCTCAAATCATGATTTAATGCTACTTAATTATAATTTAATATGGCCAATAATGTACCAGTTGATTTATGTCACTCTATAGGAGCACATAAAATCTATCTTTGAAAAAAGCCATATATCTTCTGATTCAGTACCTCTGTTGAGAATGTCTTTCAAAATATATTGCATTAGGTTTCTGTTTAGGCAGGCAGAGCTAATTGTTCAATTTATAAAACACTACAGTGAAGTTTTTTATCACATAACTATTTGGTAGCAGCTCCCCATGAAGAAATATTTTATGGGTAGCAAAAAGAGATGAAGTGAGGAAGGGAAGATGTGCTATTTCTCTAAGGAAAAGTGGTAACTAATCTATATGTTGCCTTTGTGACATCATTACAGTGGCAAAACATCTCCCCCAGTTGACTCTAGCAGCAAATCAATAACAAATAGGTAGGCTAACTTTAGGGGGAGTTCTGACACAAGAGCTACCAACCTCAACTCTATCACGCTCTTCAACGCTACCAGTGTAGTCCATTTTAGCCATATGTTTCAAATACCTACGAGTTGCCACTCTTGTGTGGATGCCAATCCCAAAGCAGTAGTTTTGCCATTGTCCTTCAAAAAAGCAATGTATGAAATCTGGCCTTGGAAAAGTGGCACAGTATTACAACTGGAGAACAACAAAGCAAAAAACAAAGTGTGTTGCTTATATAAACATTTATTTATTTATTTATTTATTTATTTATTTATTTATTTATTTATTTATTTATTTATTTATTTATTTATTTATTTATTTATTTATTTATTTATTTATTTATTTATTTATTTATTTATTTATTTATTTATTTATTTGATTTATATCCCGCTCATCTGGTAAATCTATACCACTCTGAGCGGCCTTATAGGGCCTATAAGGCTTAAAGCACTCTCTGGATACTTTACAATTTTAAAAAATTATACAGGCTATACATTGCCCATCTGCCCTAGCAAACTGGGTACTCATTTTACAATCCCCAGAAGGATGGAAGGCTGAGTCAACCTCAAGCTGGCTGTCAGAATCCGTTGGTATCAAACACTGACCATGAGCAGAGTTTTGGCTGCAAGTCTACAATTTAACCACTGTGCCACTAGGCTTTTAGTAAGTAACTGGTTTGCTTCTCCCCTAAGAAGGTCAGTGTGGAAGACATGGTTTGCTCTCTGATGTTTATACCTACAAATATTTTGTGAAGTAAGGTAAGCTGAGCTTCACAGAAATTGTGGGATGTCAGCTTCAGTTTACCTAATTGTCTAGTCAGCCATTCTCAACGGGGGCCATGGCACATCTGAAAGGGGCCACTGGCTGTTTACCTAATTGTCTAGTCAGCCATTCTCTGAATGGGGCCACTGGCTGGAAACAATTTTTCACACACCACTTTGTAAGGTTTGATATGCAACTTCTACCATTCTGATTCAGCTTATATTTTTTTCATACTGTGCTTATGGCTACCCCCCCCCAAAAAAAAGGGGGTTTGAGAATGGCTGGTCTAGACATTATGGCATCCTGGCTCTCACACTTCTAAAGAACACCCTGGAAATAGCAGGAATGACATGTAAGGCCTTAGAGACATTATTAGAAGAATGCCCCACATCCACACCCATGGACAACAAAAGGTGCCACTGGTCTTTTTCAGCATGGTAACTACTGTGCTCTTACAATGGAAGATCCAAATCAAGCATTCCAAGCATTCATCAATGTAGAAATCCCTAGCTATAGGGGGGAAACCTTTATGCTTAGCTTGCTAAACAAGTTCATTATTTGTGGTTGTAATAGCTTCTTAGTTTCTTCAAGCAGTAGCATAAGTACAGACTTTGGGGAAACCATGGATGTGTGGCCTAGCGTTAGACAGTGTCCACCATTACTCTCAGCAATGAGGAGGGAAAGAAAACTGAAGAAAACAAGGACTTGTGTCTCTGACTCCCTGTTAAGATTCTGCAGGATACTATGCTACCAGCAGGCTAAAGGGAAGTCACCTCTCCTGTCCTCTGAAAAGAAATGGGAAGGGAAGGAAAAGCAGTCCTTGCCCACAAGCAGGCCTTTCGAGGTTGGTAAAGCAGACAAGTGAATTCACTGGATTGCCTCCACCTAACTTTCCATGACATCTTGACAACACTTTCTCTTTGAGTGTACCTATTACCAAACTGGAACCTCCTGCATAGCAACTGCATTGCACAAAGAACAATACTGGGTGATGTGAATTCTTTCCTTCTTCAGGCACTGGAAAGGGTGTGCACTTTTTAAATGTAGTTGTATACAGGTGAGGTGTTTAAAATTCAATTCAAGTGTCTTATAGACACTGTGTCTTAAATCTTAGATGCAGGAATGTAGCGAACTTCATAAAGTACGTATTTTTCGCTCCAGAAGACGCACCTTTCCACAAGACGCACCAATTTTTTAGGAGAAGAAAACAGGAAAATATAATCTGTTTTCTTCGCTCCATAAGACGCACAGACTTTCCACCCCCCTGTTTTGTGGGGGAAAAGTGCGTCTTATGGTGCGAAAAATACGGTACTCTAGGAATGAAAATAGCCACATCAGATTGGAGAAAGTTATTATGAGAATTTCCCATTACAGGATATCTGTTGGGTTATCCACATACTGTCTGGAATTTTTTATAAGGAGGAAAGCACTCTTTTATCACGTTATTATAACTCTAGAAGATGAACTGAAATTTCTGTGAAAGTTAATTAAAGACAATACTATGAGAAACATTAATTTTCAACAAAGCTTTTAAACTTAACTACATTTATACCAGTCACATAATCATTGAACAAACTGAAATATGTGGTACAGAAAGTGTGAGCTGTAAATGCAGAAGCCTCTTGTTGAAATTTTACTACAGCCATGAACTCATTAGATAGCTGAGGTGGCAGTATCAAGTCACTGTTCCTGTCTCTTTAAACCAGTGGTTGGCAACAGATGGTCTGCAGGCAGTTCCTGCCCATCCTCAAAAAGTGTGCTGCCAAAATTCATTTAGTAATCTAGTAAAAGCTTGTTATAAAGGGCTTTCAACTAGTTTGCTGTCAAATATCACAATTTTACCTCCAAATAACTGCTGAATTTTACCTGGACTTTTGCCATAGTGCCATGAAATGCCTCAAAACCAAGGACTTTTCCCTTGTTTTAAAGGGCCTTTATCAGTTTGTTACTCGACTTCAGAGTAGAGGGCATATGGGGTGGGTGGCAATGACCACTACAGAGACACAAAGGATGTTCCAAAACTCACCAAAGTCACCCACATCTCATTTACAATGATGTTCAGAGCGGTGTTAGTGCTGTGATTTATGGGACCCCTTGCTTGTTTCTGCAACAAATCTGCCGTGGTGGGTATTATTACATATACTCCGAATTCTTATGAACAGAACGAGTCTGAAAATGAGCTCTGCTTCTATAGCTAAACTAAAATACTCCTAATTTGTATCAGGAGATTTGCTCACCAAGTGGCAAACACACATTTGCATTCATTTACAGCTAGCAGTGTTCATTAGGACATTCTTGAAACTCAAAACATTTCCACTGCACAGCATTTCATGGACACAATTTTAGCTATTTATATGTACATATTTAAAAAATCATCCTAAACTTGCTAATTCAAGCTCTTCTGGAAACCCTATGACATGAGAAACAAATTCCTTCTCTGCCCACTACAGCATGCTTTAAAAAAGAACTCTACAGTGCAATCTGCTTCTGACCACTAGGTTTCTATCAATTACTTCACATAACCTCTAAGAGCTGTGTATTGCAGCAGAGAAACAGGACACTTGTATCAAATATTTTTGATGGTTGCAACCAACTCAGTCTATTAAAAAAAACCTGCTGCAAGTTTAAAACCAAATTAAATGCCTTTTATTATTCATTTTTTAAACAATAATCTTGCATAGGGGACAGATACAAAGCATATGGAAGGTCCTACCTCTACCACAGCTTTTGCATCCAGTCGAAAGTTGAAATCTCCAAAGACAAAATAGGAAACTCTTTCAAATCGCTGATCTATAATTCTGAAAAGCATACAAGGAGGAAATAACTAGATTAAAATTTGGTATATGTTGATATATAAGAAGTAATCTTTGAAGTTGACACAAACAATATGCAGAATTTTAAGTGCAAGGAGATTACATGTGTATCAGAAGGAGGTATACTCATTAAATTGCCACTAAAGATCTGCCAAGGGATAGTGGAGGGAAGAGTGGTAGCACTGCTAGCCAACCAAATCATTCTCAACAATATTCCATTCCAATTCCCCTCTCTTTCAAAGGTCAGCATTCCATGTTGACTGAAAATACTCAGGATATATCTACTCTATAGTTATTGCACTTTGAATTCACTTTAACTGCTTCTACTAAATCCTGGGATTTGTAGTTTGGTTAGAAATTCGGAAGTCTCTGCTAGAGCTCTAGTGCCCACTCCAAACTTAGAATTCTAAGTACCTCACAAAACTAAAAAAATCCCAGGATGCCACAGGACTGAACATCTATTGAGTGGATTCAGTCTACTATAATCATGCAGTGTAGATTCACTTCCCATAGACTGTTTTGAGGTTTTCTTGAGATGTTTTTTTTCTAAATCCTTTTTTTTTTACCTTTACGAAACTTGGAAGTCTTGCATATTTGCTAATATACCGCCTTATTTATGGATAGTGTTGCTCTAGCTATTGAACTCAGAAATAAAGTGAATGATACAATTAATAGTCAGTAATAAAAATAGATAATATTATCACTAATATTACCATGACTTCTCAGTCAAATTTCAGACTTCCTGAGCATTCTCCTGAGAAATGAACCTTGGACTGAAAGAGTTAAACTTGGAAATTTATGAGGGTTCATTTTAAAATACTTGCAATAGTATGATGACCAAAAGGGAAGAGATTTGTATAACAATTTTAATCCTATTATACGTTCACTAAAACCCAATTAATCTGGAGTATCAAAAAAAACCTGCTTTGCTCATGGGGAAAATTATGTGCCATAAATGTAAGCAATCCTAAAAATTGGCACGAAATGTGGAACTAGTCTACAAGTTGGTGGTGGAACTAGAACCAAACATCCTTACAAAGATTTGAACCAGGCATTTGATTAATTTGCTACGGCTCTTCATAAGATCTCAGTGAGATGAATGGGTCAGAATAAGCAACATATAAAAACATGCACTAGTTAAGTTCTCAGCAACTAACAACAATAAATCTCGACAGCTCATCAAATAGCAGATCTATTCAGGAAGATTCCCCTCCTTCCTAGCAGGACCAGAGGGCTTTAGAATTTGCTTTATTGTAAATCCTGCATTACAATTTACTTTTGAACATGCTATGAATCAAAATTTCCTATAAAAGGTTGCAATTAATCACCCAATGGTGTGATAAATTTTCATGGTGCAAAAAAAGAAAGCAGCTAAGCCCTGTCAACAACATTAATTTAATGTCTTTCAGTGGGAGGTTCTAGTGCCATTTCATGTATATGTTACCCGAAATTTGTGTTGCATTATCAAAACTACTGCAATGCACCTGCAAGGCTTACACCCCAATTCCTTAATGCTGCCAAACAGCTGTTCAAATTACCTTGTTGAAATTACATAAAATGCTGATCATTACCATTCTAGAGCAGTAGATCCCAACCTTGAGTCCCCAGATGTTCCTGGACTAAAATTCCCAGAAGCCTTCCCTACTAGCTCTGCTGACCATGATATCTGGGAGTTGCAATCCAAAAGTCTCTGTGGACCCAAGATTGGGAACCACTATTTTAAAGATTAACCCATTAGAATGTGGGAACAGTTGACATCCCCCAGCACATGTGCAGAGAGAGAGAGAGAGAGAGAGAGAGAGAGAGAGAGAAGAGAGAAAGGTTAAATCTCAATGGGCCTATTAGACATAATGAAAGCCTGAGGTTCAATATATTGTAGTTCCAGTCATTTAACTTCTCATACGGCCTTAGGAAATTCCATGCTGAAGAGCTAATTAGAATAGATCATACTTATTATATACATGAGACATCGTTCTTGGTGGGCATATAATGATGACTTGGGTCCATAGATAAATAGAGGCTGTCCACAATCCAAGCTGAAGGGGAATATCTTCCCAGAGCTGCGCAGTAAGTTGTCCCCACCCCACCCCCTTTGGATCATGGGCTGGCTTTGGAACAGTCAGAATCCAATAGCAACAAAAGACAAAAAAATACAGTCTGTGACAAGCACAGCAACCATTCGCAACAGTAATAAATAGCTATTTCCCATAAATTGTACTCATACAACTTTTTGAGCTGCCAGAATTGCCAGCCAGAATACCAATACTGTACATCAAATATTGAATTCACAATTAAAAGACTCCAGACAAGAAAGCTTGTATTGTGTGCTACTGCCTGAGCGTCTACATCTGCCATAGTTACGATCAACAAATATGGGGCCATAAATAAAGAAGAGTGATAGAATAAGTAGTCATCCTAGAGATCAACTATGACGCTATACTGATTGTTTTAAAAGAACATTTGTTGGTTATTCTATTAGCTAGTAATTTTTAAAAGAGGTTTCTCAAGGAATTGAGTTTTTCTGTTTTCCCACAAGAGTGTGATATTCTTAACCAATCTTATTCAGGTGACCTGGAACATTTTCATTAACTGATTTCTTTAGGTTTCTCTACAGTGGCTGAAGTACCTAAGTACACTGGTTGATAATGATTAATTTCAAACAGCCAGAGACACTTACTATGTACAGCATTCATCCTCAAGTTGTCCCAGAGAAGCACAAGATGCTTTAGCAGTATCATATAGCAACCTTTCTATTTTTCTCTTGACAGAATCGCTAATTTTCCAAAATTCACATCCATAAGGTGCTACAGGAAGAAGTTAAAGCACCCAAATTTTGTAGAAATTACTGACCATTCTGGCATATTCAAGTTTATCTGTACAGTATAAGAGAGGTCGCAGCTTAGTAAACTTGCTGTTTGAAGTTGAAAAGGAAAAAGTTAAGTACCCTATACAGTATACTCGAGTATAAGCCAACCCAAATATAAGCTGAGGCACCCAATTTTACCACAAAACTGGGAAAACTTATTGACTCAAGTATAAGCCAAGGGTGGAAAATGCAGCAGCTACTGGTAAATTTCAAAAATAAAAATAGATACCCATAAAATTACATTAATTGAGGCATCAGTAGGTTAAATGTTTTTGAAGATACTGCCCTTCTGAGCTTTGAGACACACTTCACTGCCTGCGGAGGGAGAACTCATACCGGATGCTGCAATTATCTACTGCTCTACTGCTGCATAACAAGGAGAGAGATGGAGGATGGAGGAGGAAAGTGGGAGGAGGAAGGTGGGTACATAGAATATGCAGAAGGAGGAGGATGGGAGTGTCCTGGAAGCAGAAATGCAGTGTGCTTAACCAGGGTCATCAGACCACTTACAAAGGTGCAGGTGCCCATAGATGAGCGGCGGAGTCGGGAGAACACCTGCACTGCAGGGGAGAACATATTTTGACACTGACCCAAGTATAAGGCACTGCAGGGGAGAACATATAATTTTGACACTGACCCAAGTATAATCCGAGGAGGGTGCTTTTTCAACAAAAACATTGTGCTGAAAAACTAGGCTTATACTCGAGTATATACAGTACGTTCAATGTCTTCAATTTTTGCACCCACCCATGGCTTCCAATAAACAATCTCACAGAAGTAAATATTCCACTCAATTGTCTCTATAACTTTCATGTGCTTTCAAGAACTTAACATCACAAGACATAAAGGAATAGAGATCAAGTGTGGTGTAGTAGTTAGAGCACTGAAGAATGAGGTTCAATCAACCCTGAAACTTAATGGGGGAACTAATCTAACAGGGTCCTAAGGCTGAAGAAGTAAAGCAACATAAACTACTTTCAGTTCTCTGGGGGAAAGTGACATAAAAATGTGAATGAATAAATAATTACAACTTATGATGAAGGAGCACAAAGTACTTTGTGCACATCTTGACTGAACGCATTGAACAAAGTTCAATGAGTTTCTATGGCTTTTTTATTCCCGTTTAGCGATGTTTTCGCATAGCGAAGGTTAATCCGGAACGGATTAACCTCGCTATGCGAGGCACCACTGTATATCACAGTAATGCTATCAGTCTTTAAGATGCCATAATATTTAAATTATTTTTAAAATACCAGAGCAAGGAGAGGGTATCTCTGAGGGTCAAATTCTATCACTCTACATCTAGTATATTTAACACCAACTGTGAGATGAGGAGATAATTCTTTCCGGAGGGGCTTTCACATTGTTTTTGGAACTCACTTCCAGAATATCCTATAAAATACTCTTGTCTTTTGCATGGACAAAAAGAGTAGAGGGTAAAAATAAAATAAAATAAAAATCTTAAATTTGAAGTAATTGTTAGTAGAATTCATGATTTCACTTTCCCAAGTTTTAACTGTATCTCCTCTATTAAAGTTCCCAGTCAGTTTTTCAGGCAAGTCTTTGTCCTTAAGTTGTGTTAAATTACTTTGGTATCCGTAAAGGTCTGCTCAATTACTTTGGTGGATAGTTTCTCAGTAAATGTAGACAGAGGCTGAACATGGCTTCAGCGAACATATTAAAAAGGACAAAATAGAAATTATGTGTTTCATATATTCCTATTTATTTAGAGATAACAGTAACCTGACTATATATTGTTTTAAAAAAGAAAAGAACAATAAATAAATGGAAAGTATGGCAGATGGTTTTTTCTGGGTTGTATTATAGACCAACGTCCTCCCTGTTTTAGTTACTGATACTTCAGGATTTTCTTAATAACAAAAGGGCATCCTATTATTTGGTAATCAGAATATTTTCTAAACGTTTAAAATATGTTGAAGAACCTATGTAAAAGACATTTTATTTAAAAGAAAAAAAATACATAAATGTTAATAAACTTCTGGGAGTGATTTTCCAATAAGAAAGCATCTCCCCCCACCATCCCAATGCTCCTAAAGGCTTCTCCGGGGCAAATGAGAACCTAGGGAGCCTCAGAACATGAGGAGGCGAGAATTAAATT